AGGGAAAGAAGTATTTGAATGACTGTGGTATTGACATCTGTAGGCCTGCATAGTAATCATTCCTAATAGAAGAGAATATCTGTTTGAGGGGGTTTTGCATGGCTAATTAACCACCAGTGAGAATATGTAATTTTTTCATGATCTCCTGATTGTCACCTTTCTCTCATGATACAATTACACTTTATTGTAGCAAGTGCCTCACAAACCAATTGTCAGCACTATTTACGTATTATGGAAGGCAGAACAAAAGTTCATGTTTAATAAAAAGGCACTGGGTTTTGATCTTGGTAATTACAGATACTTATTTTAGCAATTTTATTGACTTTTCTGTTTTTATCACTCTTTTAACAAAACCAAAAGCTGTTTCAGTGACAGCGTTTCTCTTGCTATGATGGTGACCACTTCATCCTCCCTAATTTGAGAAGCTTTTTTATTAAAGTTCGTACTGTTTTCTGAACTTCATTGAAATATCAGGTAGCTGTTAACTGATCTCCAGCTGATCCTGTTGGATCTCTGGTTTACAAGAGTCTTTGATTTTCTAGAGTCAGATACTGAATAGTAAATCTATTTTCTTCTTATCACCAGGCCTAAGACTTGATGATACGCTGGCATAAAAGATGAGCCTGACCTTCCAGGCTGTAAAAGCTGCTGTAAAAGCTGCTGTAACACTTGCTATCTGCAAGTGCACAACCCCACTGAAAAATCCATGAATGAGGAGTGTCAGTTATCACCAGTCTGGTGCTGTAGGACTATGCAGAATTGGTTTGGATGGCCAAGAACAAGATCAGGGAAAGAATAAGTCTGCATATTACTACATCTTGGCACCTGTCTTCACTTTTTCAGAGGAATTTTTAATGTTGAGCGTCCTGCTTCCTGGAATAGTAAGAGTGTTAGCACTACTCCAGTGGTCACCTATTTTGTACTTGAGTACATTTCTTCAGCCAGTTCTGCCACTTACATGTGAAAGTTTGCTGTGACATTCACTGCAAAACATTTGCAGAAGGGAAATTTCTAGGGTTATTCAAAGGAATATGTAAATACAAGTAGAGAGAGCAGATAACTGAACTTTCTCAAAATGTATTGCTATTTTTAGGAAATCGGTTTTTTTTTCAATCTGGTTATTGGCGGTGGAGGATATTCAAGGCCTGGTGTACTTTGGTGCTACAGTCTTGACAAAGTGTTCGATGACAGGCAGGCACTTCCCACTGCATCTCTTGACGGCCCTGTCTGTAGTTAGCCTAGGTCTGGCTCCTTTCATCTCGGCCCTCCGCATTCCCTTTCCACCTCTCCTTTTATTCACCAAACACTTCTCCCATTAAAGAGGCAACCTAAGAATAGTGGGAGCCACTACAAACACTACAAACTCCTCACTTCTTGCTTATGAGCAGAGTCTGACTCCAGATGACCTGTCTGATTCCACCTGTACCAGTCTGGTACACAGGAGAGAGGTGATTTTGGGTTAATTTCCTTCTGAAGACCCATAAATACCTGTAAAGTACCAGTAAGGGGATCCTGTAACATTTGCTTCTTGAAGATGATGTGAAGGGGAATTGCTAGAAAACATGAATTTGAAGATGCAGCTCCTTATGTAGTATATGAATTTAATCTTGAGATTACATAAAAAGCATAACAGTGGCTACATGCTGGTTCTTTGTTTCAGTGCTCACCAAACATAGGTGATAAAATATTGTGTTAATTCTCAAATTTGTTTACCACAGTTTTTGGCACTGGATAGGTATTTTCGGCTTTTTCACCTATAATGAAAGTGCGAGAATTGGGGCCAAATGAAGTACAGTGAGGCTGGCTGACTGACTTGCTTGTGAAAATATTTATTTTATGCCTAAAGATTACCAAGTACTGAAAGTCCTGTTTTGAAAGTGATGAGTCATTTAAGCTATGTATACGATGTGAAGATCCCAGAGTTAGCTCTCCTTGCATGGTGCGGTGCAGTGCCGTGATGGAGAGGAAACAGCTTGGCCCCTGCATTCAGATAGCTGTCGGTGGGGCACTGAGCTTCACCCGTGTGACTCTGTTTCTTAGGGCTATCTGCAGCATTGTCTTGAAGTAGACTGTTTGAAACTAGCTTGAATTGTTCTTCAGAGCAGATACACCTTTGCGCTTCTAAGCATTAATAATTTTCACAGAGCAGAACTATGGATTACCTTCTTAAAAGGTGTTTTGGATCAAACAATACATGAAGTGCCTGCTGTCACTTTCAGTGGTGTTCAAGTTGTGCAGTTTCTATCTCCTGTATGTATTTAATCTCCAGTATATAAAAAAGAAGCCCATTATTTCTTCTTAGCTGCTCTATTCAGATACAGCTGCTGCATAGAGGACCATATGCAAACATTACAGTTACAGCGTTATTAGTGTGCCAGAAGTACCAAAGGCATGTGGCATACAGCCTGTGTTTTCGCTGCATTTGTTTTCCAAGTTACAAAAGCCAAAACCAGACATCATTTGATACTTGGTGCTTAGAGAAGCACTGGAAAAAATCTTGCAACTATTCACCAATAATGGTAATAATAATGTATTCCCCATTTACATTTTAGAAGACTGTAAAAGAATACAAGCTTTAACTCTTAAATCAGATCACCTGAGTCAGAACATGTAGTGATTATATTACTTTAGAGAGTTTTGCATTTGACTCAATCCAGTGATATGAAATGCACTCAGCTCTACTAGCTAATGAAACAAACTGATTTAACTGGCATCATTCCCAATAAAGGTTATTAGTGAATGGTTTGAAATGTATAACTGAAGTTTATTTTATAGCATACTTCCCAAATACAGCGTAGTTCTAACTTTGTAGCATTTTAAGAAGACATTAATTGATAATTACAATGCTGAAAACAATTCTTTTGAGAAAGATTAAAAGCTTACTCTCATTCTGTGTTCTCAGTACTGAAGATGGAACATTTTCCTTTTTGAAATACTGACTTTCTTTTCATGATACAAAACTGTTCACTGTCCATCAACAGGTTCACTTACCAAAGCCTATAGCAAAACCAGCTCAGCAGAAGCAAAAAAAGAAGGAAGCTAATGAATATGTCTGTCAAAACAATGCCTGTCCTGGGGTAACAGGCAAACAACTCCAAGGTGAAGAAAAGCCAAGTAAATTAAACAGGATGCTTCACCAAACGGAGCCTCAGCAGGTGAGGATTTGGGCACTCCAGTAATGCGTGGTATCTCCTTGGAGTCTACCTGCTCTGTTAGCTCAGTGTCCACCTCCTGAGGTGGGCAAGGAAGAAGAGCGCTTGAAAAAAGCCAAGTGCTATGTCACAAACTCCAGAAGCCGGCATAGCCTTACTGGCTGGGATTATTCTAAACATAAATCTCAGAGTTTCTCAGAAACCCAGGGGATAAGTGCAAACAGAGCACTGCCCTGATCTGTCTCAAACCTGACAGGCCCAAGTGTTGCAATGGTACCTGCAGTAATTGAATGTTACAGAATTCTTTTGAGCATACGGAATTACTGTCTGCACATCACCATCACCAGGTTTACTTACCGAAGCCTTCACCGAAACCTGCTCAACAGAAGCAAAACAAGGAGAAGGAGGAAGAACCCAACTGCCTTAGCATGCCCCGTGCTCGGGTAATGCATCGGCAAGTCCAGGCTGAAGAGAAGCCAGTTAAATTTTACACCACGATTCAGGAGCCTGACCACCCACAAAAGGTGAGGTTTTTGGTTTTACCTTGGAGCAGTCACGGCACTCTGCAAAACAAAGGCCAGCTTTTCTAAAAGTAAGAGTTTAAAAAAACAAACAAAAAACAACAAAACACCACAAAGCCTAAACTAAATGTATGCAAACAAGATGTTTGCCACAAACGCTGAAAGTTTGTGTGCATTTCCCTGGTCATACAATTAGCAAACTCAGACCTCAGTTTTTTCTATGGGTTGGTAGTAAAGCTTTGAGTACTGCACCAGTGTACAGATATGACAATATCTGTATATGACTGAGAAATGACAGTCTCCCTTTGTGGACCCTATTGTTTTCCTGGTAGAAACTTACTTCAGTAGTTTCCTTTTATACATGGTGGGGGGGGGAAAAAAACTTTATAGCATTCTTTAATTAAGTTCTTAAATAGTGACTTTTTAATCTGAGGATTTTAGCAGTTAACTAACCTCAAATATATTATTGGTAATTTACTGCGTAAAAGGGTTGAGTGAATGTATTCAGTCCTACTCTTCAACTGTACATGGAAAAGTTGATTAAAAAAGTAAGGTTTTAGTAAAAACAATGCAGAATAAAGTACATCTTAGTAATCACAGTGTGCTCCTTTTCAATGAAGTGTAAATATATTTCACGGAGTCACAGGATGTTAGGAGTTGGAAGGGACCTC